ATGTTAGATAATTATACGCAAATGATTTTCCAAATGAACACCCTTCTTTAAATTCTCAATTGCGTGTATGTGTGCATATATACACACATTTAAATAGTAATTTGATTTTAAATAATAATTACTCTTCTCTGGATGTGTACCTTCCAAAAGCCAATGGAATTTTGCAGAACATGCCCTCCGAATTTGATCCATTGACATTTGGAAGGTACATGTGCACATCAAGTAGAGAATAAAAAATTATTCTTCAGTCGGATACTCATATATTTATGGCTGTTTGGATGTTCAGTCATTTAATCTTCATAATGTCAAATAGGATTTTTATTTACAGCTGTTTAAGGAATATGTTCTCATGTGGGAATAAAATGAGATTATGTTACAGGTATCTATAAATCAGGTTTCTGCAAAGGCACCTTACACTAGCCTAGAATAAGACTTCTCACATCACCTCTGATAGACAGATGGATGAATTACCTACCAGAATTCTTCCCAGTAAATATCCCTCCAGCAGTTGCTTTGCTATTCAAATATCTCACTTGGGAAAGATGTTCAAATAGGCTCCACACTTTTTCTATGTCAGGTTTGTGAATATGTTAGATCAATAGTGCATTACTTTTTAAATAAAGTATAAGCTCTAAAATGTAAGCATAAAGCCTCCACTGAAAAATGCTAATTTGTTTTTTAAAATACACTAAATTACTTTTTTTTTAATTTTAACTACCTCCCCTTCGGGTCAAAAACAGTTTTATAAATAAAAGATATACTTTCCTTCAGTATTGAAAAAGATGATGTCTCATGCGTTTAAATTTTCTAATTAGGCTGTTTTTGTTTTAGCAGACACATATTTGATGTATGATACCCTTATTTTCTGTGTAATGTTTGGTGCTTTTAAGTAGTTGTCTATGTGCTTTAGTGAATTTAGGACATGTGGTCCCAAAACTACCTGTCACATGAAACATATGATCTCTGAAGAGTGCTCTTTATGATGAAATAATCCTTTGCAGTCATATTACATACAAATGTACATATCTGTCCATATACAGTACTAATATGGGAAAGTATGTGTCTATAGAACAAAACTGAATAACAAACCTGTAATCATAATGGATTTGTGTTGAAGCAGTGAATGCTATGTAAATGTTTTGATGTATGTCAGTCTAGATCGCTTGAACTACAAATGCACTGTAGCTCTAAAATATTATTCAAATATTTAAAGTACAGTAACAGCAGTTAATTAAAAGTGAATATTCAGCTTTTACTTTCTGACCTCTAAAGCACTGTGCATGTGGAGTTCACGTTATGAAGCCAGCTAATGTGCTCAGTCATTTTTCATTAACTTTAAACAACTTGAAAGAGTTATACAGGGAAACCAAAGTAACCTGGGCCAGTTAATGGATAACATGTGTCCTTTCTAAAGCCATAAGGTCATATTGAAATCAAGCACATCATGTTATTTGGCTCCATATTTTCAAAGGAATCACTACCTCTGTTTTTTTCCCTCCCTTTAAAAAGGCAAACAGAAGCATTTTACTTGAAGTGTCAAATTGGAAATAATTATTATAGCAAATACAAAAAAAGAAAATCGTATGTTACAATTGCTTTTGTTGTATGACAGCCTGTCATGGAGGCACCATTTGTGTTGCATTAGAACATTAAAATGGGTTATTATGGATGCATAGTGAGGTGGGATATTTTTGTGTGAAAAATTACATGTCTTTTCAGTTCATTGTCAGGCCCAGACTGGTGTGTTGGGCATCTACCATGTTCCTGGCGTGTCAGTCTCTTTCCTGGGCTGTGTGGCCAGTTAGCTAGTCACTGCTGCTCCCTTACTGGTGCCCAGCTCATCAAGGGTGAGTGAGCTGAGTGGCTATAGGTATTCAGGTTCTAGGTCAGCCAAATTGAACTGAGCATTTGTCATAGTGTTTGCTGTGCTCAGACACATGTTGGTATTTAAGCTGCTGCTAGGTTGAACCTCTTCAGCCCTTTCCTCACTCTGTGGTAATGGAGATTAGCTACCCCTCTCCCAACAGTAAACTCACATCTCCTCCACCAACACCACCAATTAAAAAGCAAGGTCCTTGGCTCCCTTCTGACTCCCATACCTATGAAGGTGAGAAAGAGGGACTGTATTTCCTAGATTGAGGTAGAAATTCCTGCTGCTGTGGCTCCCAAGAGTCTCAAGACTCTTGTGGTATCAACAGCTGCATCTCTTCCCTCCTTTTTCTCTAGGCCAGGTATCTGCAGGATGCAATGAATAAATGATGGGTAGGGGTTAGAAATAAGTGATGCATAAGAGTTGTTGCAAGTGAGTAGAATGAGAGAAGAGTGCTGGGTGATACAATGAGTGCTGGGTGATGAGGAAGTGCATGAGTGGATGACTGAAAGGGTAGGATATACTAGAGAGGGGGTATGTCTACACTTTGAGCTAGAGATGTAAAGTTCAGCTCAAGGAGGCATTCCTGCACTACTCTGCTCAAATTAGGCAGGAGGGGCTAGCTGCCTGAGTACGTACCTACCATCTTGGATGGGTGCATCCTTAGGGCGGCTAGTCCCTGCTGTCATTCGTGCTGTGACAACTACGCTATTTTTAGTGTAGCTCCATCAAGGCTAGCACAGGTATGTCTCCTCAAGCTGGAAATTACAACTTCCTGCTCCAGCACAGACATGCCTATGAGAGAGAGAGAGAGAGAGAATGAGTAGAATAATGGTGAGAGTGACTCAGGAAAGGTTGGAAAGTGGATGAGAGGTGAAAAATGGAGCAGAAGAGGACAAGGGAAGAATGAGAAGAGGGAACACTACTAAAAGAGTTTGAAAGACAACATTGTGGAAGGAGGAGAAATACAGGGAAAGAAAGAATGGAACAGGAATAATTAAAAGAGGGGATTATTAAGAAATTAGATGTTAGAAAACTGACAAAATCTCAATGGAAAAGAGACACCAAAACATAAAATAAAATAAAATAAAATAAAATAAAAAGTGACAAAGAAAAGGGAAGAGAAGGGATTAGACATTGCTATGGGTAATGAGAATATCCACAGCTACATTAGATAGTATAAAAATATATATGGGATAGAAGCCCTCATGTTTCAGTGCCTAGTATAACAATAACCAGTCAGATTTATGAGGAAACTTTCCCTCTGGGTTGGTTATTTCATGATTATCCTCTCTGGGGTTTCTTGCACTTTCCCCTGAAGCATCTGACACTGGCCACTGTCAGAAACAGGATACGGGAAGAGCTGGACCACTGGTTTTATCCAGTCTGGGAGTTCCTATGTTCTGAATAAGAAAAATGCAAGGGAAATATAGTGGGCCAATTTTTGTAATTTACTCATTTGCATCATTTAAACCACACACACTATTTTAACTCTAACATTCCTGTTTCTCTCAAGTTATCTTCCTTTTTATCAGTCAAAGTATGTGGCATCTTCTCAGCCTCAAGCAGTGAAAGACTGATGATTCCACTAAACAGGCCATTGAAATTTATAGGAATCATTTGATTTTTGCCTGTGACAATATACAAATCAGGTATCTTCTAAAGCAGAAGAGCTTCATCTTGCAGGTAAATTTTCAGAGTTGAGAGATATGTGACGGAAATACAATTTTATTCCCATTCAGCAGAGTCATTCCTATAAAAATTCCTATATCCAAACTTGTGGTGGGGCCTAATGGAAACAATGATATGCTAAAAGCTAGGCTTACAATACTCACTGCATTGTTGCATGTTGAAGATGGCAAAGGAGAAGGGAAAGACTGTTTTCTCCCCATCTTCCTTTTTTTTCCCTCCAGGGTGAAAGCCCAGATAACTACCTGTGATGCTACTAGCCCTTTCACTTTCTCCTTTCTCAGAGACTAGGTCTTTATTTAAATGGGCCT